GACTTCCAAGCCACATAGATGGTTCGGCAACAAAGTTCAGTCCGCTTGTCACAGAATGAGGTTTTCGTGATGCCTAGTCTGGATGAATACTCGGAACAGGAAATTCGGGACTATTGGATTTCGACTAGCGAAAACCAACAGTTCAAGGTCATCCGAACGATGGAACAAGGGAAGGGAAAGAAGAGATCCTACCGAGGCTTAGAATTACAAACAGACAAAGGTGCCAAAGAGGCGGAAAGAAGACGACTCAACTGCATTGACCTTGTTATGGACGAACAAGACATCCAAATCGGCAAGGATATCTATGATCCAAAGAAACTTCGCAAGCTATCCAAGAAAACATCCAAGAAATCCAAAAAAATGGCTCGGAAGCAAGCCAAGAAGGATGCCACAGTAGCCCGAAGATACCTCGAGTCTCAATGAAAACGTTAGGATCACGACTAGATGAGACTGCTGCAATCAAACCAAGACGCAGCCATGAGTGGAGATACAGTACGACTTCAAAGAAGAAGGAAGGAAGAAGGGAGGAAGACATTGAAATCACTTGCTTGTGAATGGGAATGGAACCATAGTCCTACAATGATGCAATATATTACATTAAATTTGCTATGATATGAAAGCGTGAGATATTTTGTTTTTGTTACATTTACCATGTCCTTCACACTGAACACTTACCACATCCGTCAGTGAAGTCAAATAACTCGAACAAGCAAGTATGATACATACAGCATAATCATGCCTGATACAAACAAAAAAAGACTTCCGAGCCAAGTGCATGGTTCGACAACACAGCTCAATCCGCTTTGCACATGACGATGAGGTTTTCATGATTCCCATTCGGAATGAATATTCGGAACAGGAAATCCGAGATTGCTGGTTTTCAACTAGCAAAGAACAAAAGATATTGCACCAACACTTCAACGAAATCCAAAAGATGGAACAAGGAACAGGAAAGCAAAGCTCGCACCGAGGCTTGAAGTTTTATACTGATATGGGTGCCAATTCGGCGGAACGGCGACGCCTTTACTGCATTGGTCTTGTAATGGACGAACATGATATCAATGATTCCAAGAAGCTTCGAAACCTGTCAAAGAAAGCAGCCAAAGACCCAGAAGGCTAGCTCGAGAGCGAGTCAACAAGGATGCCGCTACAGCCCGAAAATATCTCGAGTCCCCATGAATAGGTTGGTGGGTACTTGATTGGGGAGACTACTCCTACTAGTAGAGGAGGGCAACCAAGACGCAGTCACTCGTAGACTGCACAACAAGATAGAATTCAACAAACGAGGCTTACATACTGTATTACACCAGGTGGTGTCGTGATCTCCTGCAGCCGCTATGGACAAGAGATGGTGGCCAACAACCAGAAGGAAGGAATCAGAGCGGTCAGTGAATATAATCATGCAATGATACACTAGATTATATTCCATTTGCTATCAGATTGTGTATTGTACTATATTCGCTACATTTACCATATCCTTCAATAAGATACTTTGCATCATGACTGGTACTTTTTCGCTCCGTTTGATCGTTCATTCGTTCGTTCCACCAGCATTCATGCAAAAAAGTCTACCAATGGCTATTGGAGGAGCAAAAGATCTTGATGCGCCCTCTTGCGACGAAAACACAGCTAAGATATACCAGCCATTATACTCTTCTAGCAATCTCAGCTGCAAGCGCGGAACCTCCTCGGACAAGTGATGTCCACGGCTGCACCCAAAAGGCGTCGATGCCTGGATTGTCTTGATT